TTGTGACCTCGAACGAGTGGTATTGATCAATAACAACACTACACTAGCCAAGGACTCGAACCCACAGTAATATAAAATACTCCTCGATGAACTAGTACACCAAACAGGGACTAGAATGAAATTAGCCTAGAGTCATCCACACCATCGAGTGTTTTTGGGTAACGAGTACAACATTTAGTTCCGCTGGATGCCCTACTCTTCAGGATCATATGGTCCAGTGGATTAGGGCGTCATGCTCCCTTAAGTCAATGTGACCTGACCTGACTAGGTTGGGTGCATTGGCTTAAGCCGGTAGGAGACTTGGACCTGCCTCGCATGGGCCAGTAGGCCTTCTGCAGTGTTCCTTCGTTCTTATGTTCTTGTGTTTTCGCCCACCACGGAGCAGGCCAAAGCAGCATGGGTTCGAGTCCTTGGCTAGTGCAGTGTTGTTATTGATCAATACCACTCGTTCATGGTCACAAATATATATATATTATATTATATATATATATATATATATATATATATATATATATATATATATATATGACAAATCAATTATTTAAAATTACAGTATCTGATTCAGTCTAATCATTTTGCTTCCTGACTGACACTGAACATCCAGCTCAGTTATAATAAATGCAAAAAAATTAGCAATACTCATTATCCTCAAAATGAAAAATATTCTATGAATTTTTTTTTATGAATTACAACAGATACATGGATTAGTATTTTCATTTGCTGTAATCCAGATTGAAATGAATTTTATATTCATTGACATTTTTTAATTATAGTATATTATATATTAATTTATGTGTGATTATCGGCAGTAATGTCTACAATCGTTACATAAACGAACCCATATGCTACTTAACGAGACTTATTTTAGCATTTATTAAAAAATGTATCATTAAATTAAATATGTGTCCATTTTCCGAACCATGTTCATTCATAATGACGTGACACACTTCTGGACGATGTGTCTTCCTTACTTTGAATATACAGTGATTATATTTCTTAAACATTTTAAGCAAAAGAAAAAATATATTTAAAAATTGTATCGTATTATATTCCTGTCTGAAACAATATCGTGAAAAAAAATTCACTTAAAACTTACTAAATCTGCCGGAATATAATTACTGTAATTTCGAATAAAAACTATATAATTAATGCTTTCAAACTAGCAACCTCACACGACGATATCACAGAATTTACATAGTTTAGTAGAAGTATTAATTGTTATGGGTAATAGCAGGAATGAATTTACCAGCGGATGCCGGGGATATTAATGCAAGAAGACAGATAAACAAGTGACCCTACTAAAAGAGGCTGAGGCGAGCAGTACATTCTTCGAATTGAGTTTTGAAGGGACCACTGAAGGGGGGCGGTGCATCCTGTCTGGCCGTACTTGTGAATCCTTACAAAGTCTGTGCAGGTCACAACGCCGTCGCCATTACAGTCCTACATCATAACGATGACTTTATAGAACCCACATAACTCATTGCATTGTTTACATAAAAGTATATTGTGAAAGTCGTTCATTAAGACAGATCAGCAGGAGCTATAAAAATGACATGAACTCTGAGTAAGCTTTTTTACATCAGTCTACCACAGAAAATGAAATAAAGAATTGCTTTGTATTGCATGTGTATTTGTGTTTGTAATTATGTTTGATTAAATACATATGATATGGTTGGACAAATGTGTCGTTGACAAGGAAACAAGTGTAGTTAGCCAACAGCTTCATACACTACAAAATTTTTAAAAGAAGCATTAGTTGCTAAACAAAATTGGGGGAGGGTGAGGGGGAGCCTTATGGAGGAGAGATATTTTCATGCATTAGTTTTACACTGTACTTAAACCTACAGTTGACCCTCAGTTGTGAGAATCACCTTATATATGCAGACAAGTTATAAACACAAGAAAAAGGAATACTCAGGAGGTCTATCGGTAACAGGAGACCACAACTAGCAATTAGTGAGGCCTCAAACTTACACTGCTCGTCATTGTCTTTCACAATGGCTTATCAAATATAACAATAATAAAGGTATTCAGTAGGGCCTCGACATTCTCATTCAAAGTACTGAAATTGTGGAAGCTTATACGTAGGAATATCCATATGTTTGTGGCTGTAGTACGGATGTTAAAAGATAAATGGCTGTTAATGTTATGAAGCAAAATTAAAGTGGATGGTAGACCCTGACTGGGAAAAGGAGTTTAAAGAATTATGTCAAAGTTGGTATGAGAGAACCAGAGCTAAAGAAGTAGCAGAAAATTCCATTAATAATGAATGAACACCTGTGAAAGAAAAGAATGCGTAAATGCTTAATTTCAATGGATTAAAAAACAAGCGATATGAAAAAAGGGTAAGCATTTTTTCGCCAGAAAATAAGAATAGTGTAAAAATCTGAGACGAGTTAAATGTTTTAGGCATTATGAGTCACATGAGAGAATAATTATTTTTGAGGACCTTAATGCTAAAGTTGAAGATACAATTTTAAGAAATTAATTAAAAGGTATATGAGGTATAATAAAATGTGAATATTTATATCACGCAAAGTAAATAAAACGATTGTACAACACTAGAACATATTAAAAGATAAGAAATAAGGAACTACTGTAGCAGGCCTACTGACCTTTGATAGGCAAGTCCAGTTCAGACCCACCCATATACCCATTCAACCTATATTTAAGACTACTCGAAATTTTTTCCTCAAATACACTACCTGGGAGTGTGTTCCATTCATCTAAAACTATTACCAATCAGTACTTTCCAATAGCCTTCTTTAAATCTAAATATCTCCTACTTGAATCCACTGCTGTGAGTCCTGCCTTGATTATATATTTTCAACACTAAATTATAACATCTTTATTTATTCCCGTTTTCCATGTTTACACTTCAATCATACCTCCCTTAACTCAGCATATTGTGGTAGGAAAGGTATCTAATACATGGAATCAACTTCGCCAACCCTCTCTGTATATTTTCGAGCGTGTGTCCATGCTGAAATATGGAGACCGGAATTGAGCGGTATAATCTAATGAGGTCTAAGCAATGATATCAAGTTGAAATATAACCTTAGGACTTCTATTATTTATACATCTTGATATGAAGTCAAGAATTCTTTTAGCTCTACTGCGAGCACTTGTGCCCTGTTGTCGAGGCTTTAATTTTTTTGCTAACCAGAACTCCTAGACCTTTTACATATATACTTTTACTAAGATTTGCATTGTTTATCTTGTCATAGTTATTTCATTTTCCTAGGATTAGAAACTTACATTTGTCTACATTAATCTGTATCTCCCACTTCTACCATCATAACATCAACTTATATTATGTCATCCTGTACCCTTCTGATGTCTACATCAGAAATTATTTCATGGCCTATTTTAGTGTAATCTGAAAATTTACTCAAGTCGCTATTTATTCCGTCATCAACGTCGTTTATGTAGACTGTGAACAACAAACAAGGGTCCCAATACTGACGTCTGTGGCACACCACTCGTAACAGGTCCCAATTCTGATCTCTTCTCATTATTGCAAACTGTCTGTTGCCTATCGGTCAAATATTCTTGCTAGAGAACGTTTCACTCCTGGGAACTTTGTCAAGCACAGGAGCTAAACGTTTCCGAAAATGTTCTAGTGTTTCTCAAGTATCTTATACACTGGATAAACAGCTATGGGATAAACTTTTGGATGCTTTAAAGTTTATTGAAACGATTGATACATCTGATCCTTAGTAGCTAGCAAATGGAAGGTTAAAGAGAAGTGAACAGGAATGTTTAAGCCGAACTTGCCAAATTGGCTTATTCCGGATGGATTGTTTTGCCAAACAGCCGAGAATACATTTCTTTTTATTGTAACTCGAAAATCAGTTTGAATATCACGAAGTTAATATATTTCATTACTCTCAAATAATACTAAGTTTAAGTTCACTTTAGATATAATGGGTAACGTTAAGCTATATAATATTACATAAAATTTAGCAAGGTTAGCCTGTTAAGTTTGTTATAACATATTAAATAACATAATTATATCTGTCAATCCAGAACCCAAATATATCATTCTTATATTAAACCATTCAAATGTTTTTCTCATTAAAAAATCTATTTAGGATTAGATCCTAAATTCTGTTATTAACTCACTGACTTATCATGCCTCACATATTAGTACCAGTCTTCCTTGTTAACATGCCTACTTAATATTATACATTATGAGGTCTTATCCGCTACTTACTCTAGCAAACTTTTTCATGTACTGACGGACAGCTACGGCAGCGCAGTGAAGGTCCAGGACACAGTTCTCAAAAGCTGCAAAATTTGGGCATTCTTTAGTTTATTTTTGCTAATAATATTCAGTATTCTATGTATATTTTTTTCTCACAAACATAACCTGACAATGCTATTAAATATACAAATTTTGCCTGGTCTCAGACCGGGCCGCGGGGGCGTTGACCCCCGAAATCCCTCCAGTTATCTCCCGGTTGGTCTGATTATAGAATCAGTGATTTCTTGCACATTTTCTGAGAAGGTAAGCTTCAAAAAAGGAACTAATTGTAAGCAAGTAAAAAATGGATAATCGTAATCATTACATTTTGTTTTTTATCTTATCTTGCCTTAAAATAATATTAAATTTTCTGAAAAGCTGTGCATAAAACAGGTTTTAAAAACCTTAATTTGTGTAATTATTCTTGAACTACCATGCAAATTGTGAGGACCTGCGAAACAGATAGAAAATCAGGAAAGTGTAATGAAATATAGACTAAAAGTTATAAGAAACTTACCACCTTGGGCCTCAGGGTTGTCACCTTTCAGAACGGGCTTACCAGCATCAGCCCAATAAGCCCAGGAGATAAGGAAGGCGCCACAGTAATAGCCGCCTCCTGCAGGGGTGTGGCAGGGCGACGAGGCGTTACACTGCGTTGATGCCTCGCACAGGCAACCCAGACAGTTAGGGGTAACTAAATCGTTCTCTTGACCTGTGGAAGCAGAGTCAGAAATGACTATGCTGTTCTCTTGACCTGTAAAAGCAATGTTAATGGTCACTATATTGTTCTCTTGACCTGTGGAAGCAAAATTAGGAGTGACTATAGTATTCTTTTGAATGATGACATAGGAGACTAAGTACGTAACTACGTATAATGTTTTCTTGACCCGCGATAACAGGCACATAAATTAATACACTGTTTTCTTGACCTGTGATACAATAGGCATTAAGGGTTATTATATTACTCTCTAGACCTGCTAAAAGCAGTTAGGTTCATGTTACTGTTTTATTTATTGGCCTGTGGAAACAGTTGAAAGTAACTATACAGTTCTCTCTGAGCTACAAATGCAAAATTCGGGGTGATTTTATTATCTTGATCTGTAGAAGTACAGAGTTAAAGGCATCTATAGGTCTATCGTCTTGTGCAAGAAGTTAGGGGTGACAATACTGTTTCCTTGATAAGTGAAATTAAACAGATAGTAGTGGCTATAATTTTCTTGACCAGTGAAATTGAATAACTTGAGACCACTATACTGTTCTCACGACCTGTGAAAGTAAGCAGTCAAAGGTTAACTGATTTTCAGGAGGATGACCACCTACGACTGTGTCGCTAAGGAATATAATAACTATAAGCTTAAGTGTATACTTTCTCCGCGTATTTGAGTTATAATTCTATAAATCATATGAAAATTTTAAGTTTAATACTTATTTTTGATGGTGTACAGATTACATCCTGCCTTAACTGACTTTTCGATAGGTTTTAAACCTAAAAACCAACCAATATATAAATATGCTTAAAAAGATGCAAGCTTGCTTGCCTGCCTGCCTGCCTGTCTGCCTGCCTGCCTGCCTGCCTGTCTGCCTGCCTGCCTGCCTGCCTGCCTGCCTGCCTGTCTGCCTGCCTGCCTGCCTGCCTGCCTGCCTGCCTGCCTGCCTGCCTGTCTGCCTGCCTGCCTGCCTGCCTGCTTGCCTGCCTGCCTGCCTGCCTGCCTGTCTGCCTGCCTGCCTGCCTGCCTGCCTGCCTGCCTGCCTGCCTGCCTGTCTGCCTGCCTGCCTGCCTGCCTGTCTGCCTGCCTGCCTGCCTGCCTGCCTGCCTGCCTGCCTGCCTGCCTGCCTGCCTGTCTGTCTGTCTGCCTGCCTGCCTGCCTGTCTGCCTGCCTGCCTGCCTGCCTGCCTGCCTGCCTGTCTGTCTGTCTGCCTGCCTGCCTGTCTGTCTGCCTGCCTGCCTGCCTGCCTGCCTGCCTGTCTGCCTGCCTGTCTGCCTGCCTACCACCCCACAGAGAAGCGGTCAGTAATATTGACACAAGATGATCTCATCATCTAACAAGACATACTGGAGACCTTGATGGAGTTTTGTAAATTCCTTGGGTTAAGACTCATTCCGACGATGTTTCTTGTACAGTATTTCTCGTATCATATTCTCTCTTAGTCAAGAATCAGATTCTTTGGCAAGTATTTCCACTCATAAACATATAAAAATATGTTGGCATGAGGCACATGGTGACATCAGGGCCAACATTCTCCACACAATTGTTAATGAACATAAGAAAGTTTCCAAGAACAGTCAGAGAATGACGCAACGTTGACCCGAACAAATGGTTATCACTGACGAAAATAATGTTTGACTTACATAAAGGGGATCAAACAAAATCAAATGCATTGTAATTTATGCAAGACCCAAGGTGAAATAATTATGGAAAGAGCAAGAAATTGTTGGAAAACATACAGTATTTGTGAACAGAATTTGATGTTCTGAAATCGAGAATGGAGTGTAGTAGTGTGAAGGGGTTGGTGGTAGTATATAGATGAAGAAAGAGCAAATAATTTTATGGTTTACCTGTAGTAGTGGCAAAACTTTAGTTACTCTTTTGTGACAAACATTTGAAAGTTGCGTATTTAATGAAAATTAACGAGATCTATAAAGTACAAGGGAAAAACTTTAAAATACACCGTACGTTAGAAAAATCTGCATACTGACGTTGATGATTCTCGGCGAAGTCATTGGTAAACCAGTAATAAAAGTGAGAAGTGACCAAGCAACGTCCAACCTAAACCTGTTAAAGTGACTTGTTGAGACTTGAAGGTCGTGGATACCTGAACTGTTCTCCCTCACCACACTTAGTATTGCACTGCAAGGTAACACTGTCCTTGCAAAGGTCATTATAAATTATGATTATTATTATTATTATTATTTTGTTATTATTATTATTATTATTATTATTATTATTATTATTATCATAAAAAAGTTCTCAAACCGTTTCGCCTTAAGGGAGGTTCCTTGATGATGGTGAGGGACTCTTGATCTAGGGAATTGGATCTGTGCTCCAGTTCCCTGAATTGAGCCTGAATGCCTTCCACCCCCCTCCCCACACATGCGTTGTATAATCCCTATTTGTTTAGCGCTCCCCATAACAATACTAATCTAAATCCGTATGAGTCATGCAGAGCCCCGAGAATGTGAGGTAATCAGTATTCATCCCAGACAGGGTAGTTGCAACTGATATGAACTAGTAGCTTCCATAATATTCAACATTTATAAAAATATTTAGCGAGCGTTGGTGGAGTAGATATCCCATTCAAGTAACAGTTTACCATTTTTGTTTGATTATTTCCACAACAGACAAGACAAATTATCTTGTTTTCAGGGCTACGAATGGATTACCTAGCTAATGCTTCGAAGACAGTGGATGCTGTGCAGTGAATAAATAACTACAGGCCTTGGCCTTGACAGTCCCTTGGTGCAGAAATTAACAGAATAAGAGGGAATGTCTGCTGGAAAAATGTGTTTACCTTCTTCTTTTTCGGGAAAATAATATAAAGTGTAAACTTGCCTAATATTTGTTGATACGGTGATGTATAATGAGAATAAAAGTCAGAATATTCAAGTGGTGAGTTCATAATGGTTCAGGACGGACCGAAATGTTGCCGGAGGTTGGTTAATGGAGTTGAAACCCCAGTGTACGAGGGTCGTTAAGACTGCATGTAACGTCTTCACCTCCAGACAAGACTGCTTGTATCTTTACAAACAAACATTAAAGTAGACTTTCAGCACATATATGCTGTGTCATACATATGTTGGTGTATATGCTGAGTCATACACATGTTGGTGTATATGCTGAGTCATACATATGTTGGTGTATATGCTGAGTCATACATATGTTGGTGTATATGCTGAGTCATACATATGTTGGTGTATATGCTGAGTCATACACATGTTGGTGTATATGCTGAGTCATACACATGTTGGTGTATATGCTGAGTCATACATATGTTGGTGTATATGCTGAGTCATACATATGTTGGTGTATATGCTGAGTCATACATATGTTGGTGTATATGCTGAGTCATACATATGTTGGTGTATATGCTGAGTCATACACATGGTGTATATGCTGAGTCAAACACATGTTGGTGTATATGCTGAGTCATACATATGTTGGTGTATATGCTGAGTCATACACATGTTGGTGTATATGCTGAGTCATACACATGGTGTATATGCTGAGTCAAGCACATGTTGGTGTATATGCTGAGTCATACACATGGTGTATATGCTGAGTCAAACACATGTTGGTGTATATGCTGAGTCATACACATGTTTATGTATATGCTCAGTCATACACATGTTGGTGTATATGCTGAGTCATACACATGTTGGTGTATATGCTGAGTCATACACATGGTGTATATGCTGAGTCATACACATGTTGGTGTATATGCTGAGTCATACACATGGTGTATATGCTGAGTCAAACACATGTTGGTGTATATGCTGAGTCATACACATGTTGGTGTATATGCTGAGTCATACACATGGTGTATATGCTGAGTCATACACATGTTGGTGTATATGCTGAGTCATACACATGGTGTATATGCTGAATCAAACACATGTTGGTGTATATGCTGAGTCATACACATGTTGGGGTATATGCTGAGTCATACACATGGTGTATATGCTGAGTCATACACATGTTGGTGTATATGCTGAGTCATACACATGTTGGTGTATATGCTGAGTCATACACATGTTGGTGTATATGCTGAGTCATACACATGTTGGTGTATATGATGAGTCATACACATGGTGTATATGCTGAGTCATACACATGTTGGTGTATATGCTGAGTCATACACATGGTGTATATGCTGAGTCAAACACATGTTGGTGTACATGCTGAGTCATACACATGTTGGTGTATATGCTGAGTCATACACATGGTGTATATGCTGAGTCAAACACATGTTGGTGTATATGCTGAGTCATACACATGGTGTACATGCTGAGTCATACACATGTTGGTGTATATGCTGAGTCATTCACATGTTGGTGTATATGCTGAGTCATACACATGGTGTATATGCTGAGTCAAACACATGTTGGTGTATATGCTGAGTCATACACATGGTGTACATGCTGAGTCATACACATGTTGGTGTATATGCTGAGTCATACACATGTTGGTGTATATGAGTCAAATGTGTGATATGAGTACACATGTTGGTGTATATGCTGAGTCATACACATGGTGTATATGCTGAGTCAAACACAGTGTTGGAGTATATGGCTGAATCTATACACATGGTGTATATGCTGAGTCATACACATGTTGGTGTATATGCTGAGTCATACACATGGTGTATATGCTGAGTCATACACATGTTGGTGTATATGCTGAGTCATACACATGGTGTATATGCTGAGTCATACACATGTTGGTGTAATGCTAGTCATCACATGTGGTGTATATGTGAGTATACACATGTTGGTGTATATGTGAGTCATACACATGTGGTGTATATGCTGAGTCATACACATGTCGGTGTATATGTCGAGTCATACACATGTTGGTGTATATATTGAGTCATACACATGTTGGTGTATATGTTGAGTCGTACACATGTCTGGTGTATATGTGAGTCATACACATGTTGGTGTATATGTTGAGTCATACACATGTTGGTGTATATGTTGAGTCATACACATGTTGGTGTATATGTTGAGTCATACACATGTTGGTGTATATGCTGAGT